ACTATGATACATTTATTGTGATATTAAAAAAAAACTAATAAAAACTCGTATCATCAATGATTTCTTGTCTAATTCACACACTGTTTGGAAACATACCTTCTAAGAAACAACTTATGCTTCAGCTCTGAAAACAATAATATATTACTTGCAGTAAATTAACATGTTAGAATTTGTACAGTATAACTTATTTGTTTGTCAACCATTGTTTTAGTACTATAACAAAGATAAATCCCCGGTGGTTAAGAGGTAAGTCTGAGGGCTATGGACGCTAAAAATCGTATTTCGATACCAACGGTGAGCAGCCATTGTGTAGCTGTGTGCTTAACATCAAACAAAGATAAATTCCTTATATGAAAATCTTCTGTATAATAAAATAATAAAACCCATGTGGTAATTAATTTACGAATATTCAACTGCGTTTATTTTTCTGGTAGTATTTCTAATTTTGTATGATAAACTATAAGTGACAACTTTGACGCCCCCCAGTAGCACAGCGGTATGTCTCCGGACTTACAACGCTAGAAACCGGGTTTCGATACCCGTGGTGGGCAGAGCACAGATAGCCCTTGTGTAGCTTTGTGCATAATTAAACAGACAACTTTGAATAACTAAACTAAAAGAAATACGAACCAATCTGTCTTAATTTACTATAAAAACAAATATTTATGTGTGTTTAATGTGTTGTACTCTAGGATACTCAATTTTACCACTGTGATATCCATATATTAAAACAAACGAAAATAAGAAGTCAAAACTGTTTCTTTTTTTAAAACCACGTTGTCCATCTAGAATATGAATGTTTACATGAAAGCAAGTAAAACAAAGCAAACAAACAAAAAAGGCATAAAAGGTTTGAATATTGAACTCAAACCTGCTTAGTTGGAAAATTCTAAAAATCTTTGAGAAGGAGAATATGTTATAATATGTCAATCACAATATAGCTGCCATATCCAGTGCCAACGAGGCCGTTCGCCAAATACCATGGTCATCATGCTGGCTGGGATAAAACAAACAATGTAGTGATCTAAGCGCTATTTATATCATCTATTTTCATGCACAACGACTGTTATGGTGGGAACCACATATTCTACGATACCCGAAAGAGCAGAAACTTCCAACACTTTCAACTTTAGAAGCGGGTTAAACCTGACAATAGCACTGATTATCTGAAATGGAATTATAACTAGAGCAATATTATTCACAACGATCTTTCATGTGCATATCGGCATGTTAATTATTTGTTTAGTCACAAGTACTTTTCAGAAATCCTTAAAATTACGTGAGAAATGCCAAAATTTACCTGCAAGTAATGTATAGGGCGAGATTAGTAAGTCCTTGCTAACAATACTAGTAATGTATAGGGCGAGATTAATAAGTCCTTGCTAACAATACTAGTAATGTATAGGGCGAGATTAATAAGTCCTTGCTAACAATACTAGTAATGTATAGGGCGAGATTAATAAGTCCTTGCTAACAATACTAGTAATGTATAGGGCGAGATTAATAAGTCCTTGCTAATAATACTAGTAATGTATAGGGCGAGATTAATAAGTCCTTGCTAATAATACTTTGATCAATTGTTTAAAACAAGTTTCCCGTGCAGCAGCGTTTTCGGAATTTGGCTTAAGGCAGGTTTACTTATTTAAGTTGAGTATACTGATTGGACAGCGGTAAGTTTGCGAACTTACAACGTTAAAATCCGGGGTCCAGTTCCCCACGGCAAACACAGCACATGGCCTCATGTAGCTTTGCTGTAAAATAAACAAACAACCCAAAAGCATTCGGTACTTCAGTTTTGTAAATGCTACATTAGTTATTTATTTTTTTACTTCATTTCATTATTTGAGCGAAATTCGAAGTTTCTTTTTCTTTTTTCGCTTTTTTATAAGTTCTGAAACTTTTTGCTCCATCAGAGATTTAATGTATATTCGAGCCGACCGTCTCCAAGAGTTCGCATATCTTATCCTTATCGAAGTTTTCCTCAGCTTCAGTAATAAATTATTTTGCTGAAATATTGTATCAAGGAAGTAATCACGCCTTCCTTTAGCGCTGCAATCACTGTAATAACATAAAGCTATATGTGCACACGTACATCACGAGCTCACGCGGTGTGATATATTACAACCTATGTGGCTGATGTGTTTTCCTGGAAACGTTTTTGTCTCTGTGCCATTTGATGGTGAACTTTAAACTTAAAAACCTTTAAAAGCGTTTCAGTGTATTTATTTAAGACAAACAGACTATTATCTATATATATATATATATTTATATAAGGAATATGAGAAGTCAATACATGTACAATTAAAATAGCTTACTAAAAATATATTTAATATAGCACCAAGAAATGGTATGTGTAATACGTCTTTCGGAATAATACAATATGTTCACTGGCATATAAGTCCAGTTTGTTCATACGCTATACTTTTTTAAGGTTATAACAGCCAATAGAGATACAGTTCTTGCGGAGCAATGTTTGTAATGTTTGTATCTTCACACAACAGTTATTTTATATATTCCGATTACAAGGTTAATTTAAAAAGGCGCGTAAAGCCTTACTAAATGAAAGTGGAATGTTAGTATTAAAGCTGGCAGTGGTAAAAATGGAGAGAATATTAGACTGATAAGTACACAGATAGGTAAGAAAACCAGACCATGACATCAAAATGAGGATAAGGAGAAATTCTCAAACACAAATGAGGCCACGTACTGTACAAGCTTTTAAATAAATTCTGAAGCATGGGATCATAACTGCGTTCCGTCATCGCAGTAGTGATGGAATGTACTGGTTCATCAACGATCAAAGAAGAAAGATTGGGAGGAAGTGAAAAGAATGGCTTCTATATTTAGAAATAAATATATTCTGAAAAAAAGTAATGTATTAGGCCTATAAATGAGAACGATAACCTTCGTTAAAATTTATATATGAAACATATTGTTACGTCTCCGTTCGTTAATTAACTTTTCGTAACTTCGTTCCGACGAAACTTT